TGTCCTAAAACATGAACAAACAAAAGATTATGAAAACTAGGGCCCCAACTAACGATTATTTTGCAAATCGATTAATCAGTCGATTAATCAATTAATAATCGGATAGCTAAAGGTCCCCTAAAGAAAACCAGATGAAACTTAGACTTTTCCACTTGAGGAGTTCTGGATAGAACCTATTGACATTACATATACATATATATATATATATATTTCCTTTTTTTTTTACTTAGTGTTATTTTTTATTTTATTTATTTATTTATTTTTTTTTATTATTATTTTTTTTTTATAATTACTGCTCTAAGTGGGTTGCTCTATCAGCTACAGGCATGTTTCAGTCCCTACACTCCAGTTAACAACTAATTACTTACTTAGTTGACGATTATTTCAATAATCGATTAACTGTTTCAGCCTTAATAAAAATGTACGACTGTCGACAAGAAAGTAGTTTTTTCTTTGTAGATGAAATTGAAAATAAGAGCATCTCATGAATTAAGTTGAATTAGCTAAGCAGGACAAATTTCTTGAATTTAAGGAGTTTATTAAAAGAAATGCGTTAAAAAATGCAGTTAAAAATTACCTACGGACGAAATGTAAAACCTTTTTCACAGATCCCGAAAAACACAATGCCAACAGATATTCAAAGCAATTATTACAACAACGAACCCATCGTCTGGTAGCACAGACAATTAGCAAAGAATGTCAGTTAGCTAGCAGAGAGGTTAGCTACATAAGCTACGGTAGCTAACGATGCTACGCTACAAGATTTCTACTCACTAAAGGGAAACCTTACAGTTTAGGCAAATCTATAGATGTACTTGAACGCAATTACTGTATTTATCCAACAGCTTTACACGTTCTCTTTAAGATTCGCATTTAATTCATGGAAAATCCGACGCAACAACGAAAGCAATTGAATCAATTAGCTTCACAATAACAGCTAATCACCAAACGGTTTTTACATTAAAGATATATGTAACGAGTTTTCTCCCAATAGTTAAGGTTCGGTTAGGTATTTACCTCGATCTTGATTTGAATAAGGTTACTTTATTCTATATTCTGCTGTAGCAAAACTGCAACGTGCGTTTGTCGCTTTCACAGGGTTTTTGAGCCTTTTTTCCTACTACCCACAAAGCAACGAGGGGTCAAAACAAGTGTTTCCGGTAGCTTTCACCGCAATGCATTATTGGATTTAGGGTTTTTGTCTACTAACGGAACGACATCCTAAATAAGTAGCAAATTGTGGGTTTTTGCATCAAGAAGTTAAGAATAAAACTTGCACTTCAATAATAAAAACAACATTAACTGAGACATTTTTTATGGCAACTAGAACAAGAGCATTACCAATAAATCCATGGATTGAAGTGCAGCATAGCAGCGTCCAAAGATTTAGATGGAACTACAGCTTTTTCTGCTTGTCCCCTTCTACAATAAAAACTTATTAAACCTCCAAACTCTTGTAATGCATAGCAGAAATAATTTGACACAAATGGTATATATAATTATATATATACCATTTGTATTATATATATATATGTATATATATATATATGTATATACACTACCGTTCAAAAGTTTGGGGTCTCCCAAACAATTTTGTGTTTTCCTGAAAAGTCCCACTTATTCACCACCATATGTTGTGAAATGAATTTTCTAACCGAGTCAAGACATTGACAAGGTTAGAAATAATGATTTGTATTTGAAATAAGATTTTTTTTTTACATCAAACTTTGCTTTCGTCAAAGAATCCTCCATTTGCAGCAATTACAGCATTACAGACCTTTGGCATTATAGCTGTTAATTTGTTGAGGTAATCTGGAGAAATTGCACCCCACGCCTCCAGAAGCAGCTCCCACAAGTTGGATTGGTTGGATGGGCACTTCTTGAGTACCATACAGTCAAGCTACTCCCACAACAGCTCAATGGGGTTCAGATCTTGTGACTGCGCTGGCCACTCCATTACCGATAGAATACCAGCTGCCTGCTTCTGCTCTAAATAGTTCTTGCACAATTTGGAGGTGTGTTTAGGGTCATTGCCCTGTTGTAGGAAGAAATTGGCTCCAATCAAGCGCTGTCCACTGGGTATGGCATGGCATTGCAAAATGGAATGATAGCCTACCTTATTCAGAATCCCTTTTACCCTGTACAAATCTCCCACCTTACCAGCACCAAAGCAACCCCAGACCATCACATTACCTCCACCATGCTTAACTGATGGCGTCAGGCATTCTTCCAGCATCTTTTCATTTGTTCTGCTTCTCACAAACGTTCTTCTTTGTGATCCAAACACCTCAAACTTTGATTCATCCGTCCACAACACTTTTTCCAGTCTTCCTCTGTCGAATATCTGTGTTCTTTTGCCCATCTTAATCTTTTTCTTTTAATGGCCAGTCTCAGATATGGCCTTTTCTTTGCCTTTCTGCCCTGAAGCCCAGAATCCCGCAGCCACCTCTTAACTTTAGATGTTGACACTGGTGTTTTGCGGGTACTATTTAATGAAGATGCCAGTTGGGGACCTGTGAGGTGTCTGTTTCTCAAACTAGAGACTCTAATGTACTTATCTTCTTGCTCAGTTGTGCAACGCTGCCTCCCACTTCTTTTTCTACTCTGGTTAGAGCCTGTTTGTGCTGTCCTCTGAAGGGAGTAGTTTAAGAAATCTTCAATTTCTTAGCAATTTCTCGCATGGAATAGCCTTCATTTCTAAGAACAAGAATAGACTGTCGAGTTTCAGATGAAAGTTCTCTTTCATCAACTACACTCTTGTGTAGTTGGATGTGTGTATATATATATATATATATATATATAACTGTAACTGGAGCATGTAACAAAAGTAATTTCCCTCTGGGATTATTAAAGTATTTCTGATTCTGATTTTCTGGCCATTTTGAGCGTTTAATTGACCCCACAAATGTGATGCTCCAGAAACTCAATCTGCTCAAAGGAAGGTCAGTTTTGTGACTTCTGTAATTAGTTAAACTGTTTTCAGATGTGTGAACATGATTGCACAAGGGTCTTCTAAGCATCAATTAGTCTTCTGAGCCAATGGGCAAGCACATTGTACCATTAGAACACTGGAGTGATAGTTGCTGGAAATGGGCCTCTATACACCAATGTAGATATTGCACCAAAAACCAGACATTCGCAGCTAGAATAGTCATTTACCACATTAGCAATGTATAGAGTGTATTTCTTTAAAGTTAAGACTAGTTTAAAGTTATCTTCATTGAAAAGTACAGTGCTTTTCCTTCAAAAATAAGGACATCTTAATGTGACCCCAAACTTTTGAACGGTGTGTGTGTGGGTGTGTGTGTGTATGTAAATATATACATGTTATGGTATGATTGCCAGGAGAAACTCGTCTTGCAAAAAAAGGGCATAATGACCTAGAACTGCATTGCTCCATGCTTCATTATGCAGTATGTAATGCATTTCTTTGTCATATGCATACATGCTTCTAAAACTTTATATTATGACAGATCATTGATATTTACCTGAAAACCGAAAGGTCTTAGGTAGCCATTGCTTAGCTGACATTATGTGTAGGTTGGATAACACCCACGCTGCCAATAGGTAGAATAGATATAAGGCACTCTCGACGTTCTTTCATTGTATTTTCAGTAAAATGTATTACATTGTTCTGGTATCATATCGATAGCCAATAAAGACAACTTGGAAATAAGAAAAGGTTTGTGGTCTGCTAACCTATAGCAGACATAAAGAACAAGATGCACAGACATCAGCTGATATAGTTGTCTTTATTATAGGAAGTGTGTTGGTGATTGACTAAAGTTACCTAATACTGGTTTAAAATAAGACAGAAGTTCAGTGGGAACGTTAATAAAAAGCTTACAGAACAAACATCTGATACAGTAGCACTGATTTGCATCTTCTTTCTGAAAGAACATATAACAATTTTTCATCCTGATGCCATCATGGCTCCAGGTTGACGTTTACAACTTTATGGGATTCCATAAAAAGGTGGAATGGGACCCCATCAGGGTGCCACGTGAATCATTTTTCACAGGGAAGAATGACTCACATTTAAATCGGACATAAGAGCTCTTTTTCCTGTACCTTTTAACCTATACCTATAAAAACAAATAATCAAAATGGGATTGTTTGTCCATTTTAATAACTCATATATGATCGCAAAGTTTGCCAAACAACTGATATGCATAGAATTTGACTGCACACATACAGCACGTGTTATATACACACTAGGGATACTAGGGATATTTATTTTGGGAGGCGTGTGTCTGGGATTTCTGTGAGGCACATAAAAGCTGCCTAATGTGGGTTTGCCACAGAGGAAGGGGTTTTTAATGGGAAAAGAGAAAGCATAATGGGATAATAAAAGACACCATCAAATAAACCTTCATTTGATTTTCATTGCATTTGGCTCATTGACTGGCGTCAGCAACCAGGATACTCTGTAAACACCTCTTGGATTGTAGACTGAGGTCATGTGCATGCACTTTACTCATGTGTTTACGTGTGTGCTTTTATTGCTTGTAATGTGTGCAAGCCTGATTCAGAAATTAGCGGCCTTGCACTTCTATGGAGACTTTGCCCAGTTCTGACAAATGTGTTGGTTCTTTTTGGATGGAAAAGTAGCTGGCTTATCTCAGATCCTGTGCTGAAACCAGCAAAAGCTGCATGTCGCTGCCAGCTATCTAATCAATGATCAAACCACAGACAATTGTATATCTCGTAGAAGTTATACTGAAGGGAAACTTGAGAGATGAACATATTTAGGTATTAATGTTTTACTCTAGCTACAGGGACTGACCGTTGATTGCAACTCTAAATATAATGATTTATTTCAATCTTATACAGCCTATAAACACTTTATCCATTGTGGCATTTGTGTGTTTAACAACAAAACAAAACAGAAAAAAAATTCAGTTATAGTTAACCCAAATGACCCATAACCCTATAAAGAGAAAGAAAATAAATGGTACAAATTTATTAATCGTTGAATTCAGTAATCACATAAAAACATCCAACTTTGAATTCAATTTTATTTGCGAGAGGGGAAAAACATTTTCTTTTAAGTTGTCAAGATCAAATTTTCCTGGTACCCTTGCTGTTTTTACAGTGCACTCGCTCTTTTTGTCCATTTAGGGTATGTAGTCTTCTTCTATTACATTTTCATATGGAATTTATCAAAGTAGGAAATCGGTTGAATAATAGATCCCTTTTTTAATTGTTCATGGGTTTCACGGTAATTAGCTTAATGGGTTTAACGCAGTGCAACTCTGGGTAAAAAGCAGGATATGTATGGGTTCTAAATGTACTACCTTAACCTTAAAAGCCATTTAAGTTCCACCAGATTGTTCCCAACTGCTTTTTGCTATTTTTTATTTAGTAAACTCACGTGGATCCTCATGAAGCCCTTTCTGAATTCAGGCCCACTTAGTATTCACATAGCCAGAGGAAAACCATATACATATTTCCATATTTAACCTCAATTGAGCTCGTCTTTCTTCATCAAGCTTTTGCCAATTTCCATACAAAAACCAAATACATTTAGTGTTTTATATAAAACCTTATAGAAAATGAACATATATGCAGGGTCTAAGAAAATCTATCTGTTGTAATGTGTTGTTATTTTTGTTCACATTTAGATTTCATATTGTTTTCTTACTGTAAACCACCTACATATAAAAGCACATTACATTTAGAAAAAATGCTAGCATATCAATAGGTCAATGCGCAACAAGCAGAGAAAATACAAGCTTATCTTGAACTTTGCATCAATATGTTTATGTTGCAAGACCTTCAACCTAAATTTAGCTCTTAAAGGGAATAAAAGTATTGAGCAAAAAAAAAACTGTTTTTACTCTTAAGAGAACTCAGTGTTCTGTTCAGTGTTTTTGTCCACAAATTGTCTTCATACATGTTGTGTGCAACTGGGATGAAAAACATATGTATGAGCATATATGTCATAAGTTCTCTGTTATATCTGTAGAGCAGCAGCCCCCTGTCTTTTGTATGGAGACAGCTTGAACATTGACAAAAGCAGTGCAGTCTCCCCTGTCTTTGAGCTCTAAAACATTTGCTGTTTCCTCTTCATGAATGGTTGATTCTACAGCATCCTGTGCACAAAATGTCATGCAAGGCTTGTCCTGCATCGCTGCAAAGGTGTTACTTTGCATCTTGTGTCCATTGGGTATGCCGCTGCTTTGAAGTGCATCTAAATTTAATGTCCAGTGTCTAGAAGTCTCTTGTTTAACTTCAGCTTTTGACTGATCAGAATCCAGGATGTAGTTATTCACCACTGTGCCACACGTTGAACCCTCTTTACTTGTTTGGGATCCCCGTCGGATGCTGTTGCAGCCAATATCTCTACTGTATACACTTCCAGCTCCAATTCCATCCCTGTCTGTCTGCCTCAGGATGTGTTTGTGAAAAATCTTTCGAAAAGTCTGTCTGAACTCCCTGATCCGGTAGGCGTAGATAAAAGGATTCACCACAGAGTTTGCATGGGAGAGGATTATGGCAACGTTCATCACCCAAATTGTTGGACGCTTGCAGTCCTTACACAGGTGGTTGACGCAGTTAATGATATGTACAGGAAGCCAGCAAAGAGCAAACAAGCCCACGATAATGGCCAGTGATTTGGCAGCATGCACTTCCTTCTGCAGGAAAGACCGGGAAGAGTTTGAAGAAGGTGCTCTTTGTCCAGGAAGAGGCATGTGTGCAACCTTGATGCTCATCTGACGGAGCTGCCGTCTCGCTACCATGAATATATTGATGTAGATGACCAGCATGACTAACAGAGGGGTCAGCACGAAGCCAAAAAAATTAAAATAGATCATATAGTCCAAGGGAACTACTTTTTCAAAAAAGCATTGGGTCATACCTTCAGGGCATCGATTTGTACCTGTGCTGTTATCTGTGGAGTTCCTTCCTGTGCAACATTGAAAAAAGAGATTAAATGTTAGTCTTTAATTCACATCAACCAGATTTTTTTTACTGTAACAGAAATAAAATGCATACAGTCATTTTCCAGGGTCAGCTGCAAAGTGATACTGTAATTTTTCCACAAGCAAAAATAGAATTATTCAATGAAAAACCTCAAAATAGCTTACAAAGTTAGGATGAAGGCAAAATAAATCAGAAATGGAGACAGGAGGTGACAAACAGGAGATTTTAGTAAGGATACATGAAAAATAGGAGAGAAGTGGACACAGCTAAAAAGGAGGAAGACATCGAGCTGAGGGAGAAGAATAATACTATAGAGGAAAAACAGGAACACAATCTAATATGATAAACATAAAAGTAATATACATGTCAAGAAATAATCATCAAAAATACACAATAACAAAAAAGGAAATAAGTTAATATAGCAAACCCTTCATGTTAAAAAAGCAGATATATGAAATTATGACAAAATATTGGGGAGAAAAAAACACAAAAAGAAAACCAAATTTAAATCCTATGGTTTCTGACAGTTACAAAGAAATATGGTTAATTTAACTGTCGATAAAAGGTTTATTATCATATATGGTATTAATAGTTATATTTAAATGACACCATAAAGATATAATAGGGTTATTTACCAGTTTTTATCAGATGACAATTATGTATATGCCTAGATAAATCTTTGACCTTAAAGGTCAAAGATTCAAACTGATATAAAACACAGTAGACTTTTAGTGACATAAGAAGATTGGAAAAAATCTGTGAGCTAATTAACTTTTATTTTGTCAAATGTCAGTATATATTTCATATGCAAAAGTTACCCTAGAGAAAACTGTACTTCAACAACTCTAGAACATTCAACCATATAATATATTTAAAGGAGTAATAAGTAAGAATGCCCAAACTGAGCGATGCATTTGATATTATCCATCACAGCATGCAGATTCAGACCTCATATCCCTTTACTTGTCAACAGATCCAAATAACAGACAGAGATGGTGTACAGATCTGCACCAGAACTGAACTGCGATCACAGACCCTCCTCAACACATGCAAAAAAAAAGGGGGTGGTCCTGATCAGATTCTAGGCTGCAGGCTGATTGGGCCTGCCTCATTTTTTAAAATTTACCAACCAATTGAAGCAATACTTGAGCAGGAATGACATCACTGCCTTAGCATGGTAAGTATAAAAACATGTAATTTAAAAGGACCTTTAGTCCAAGTGTTTTAATAAATGTGGTGGAATGATGTATGGCATTTACACCTCTTTATTCAATCTTGAGGCTCATGTTAGCTTCTGCAAATGTGTTTGTATGTAACATATATTAGAAGTTATAGTAGAACCTATTACTCAGGCTTCTGCAATTCTGTCCCTTGGGGTCTGGTTTCCTGCATCTTTAAGATGCTTTAAGATTGTCTCTACATTTTAGTTAAACTTAGTGCCAGTCCCTTTGTAGCTCTTAACTGCAGGGTAGGTAGAGGATCTTAACACTTTGACGCCTACTGCCCAAACTTGTATTTTACAAGCATCTTATTTAGACAGTAAAGTATTTTTGATTCTAAACTTAGTTGTTAGAACCAACCCAGGGTGTGAACGACGTGTCAGATGCCAAAGGAAATATCTTTTACACTTGCATTTCTGGATGAAGAACAGTTTGAGGAGTGGCTTCAAGATGTAAGAAAGATCACCCAAGAAAAGCTATTGTTATTAACTGGTTTAATGGAAAAATACAGTGGGCACTTGCAGACATTTCTCTAAATGTGCCAGTGTTGGTTATGAAACTAGAAAATGTTCTGACTTTACTGCAAAGAAGTGACCCAAAACTTGGTGGCAATAAACTACAGACTCTGCTGTTCTAGTATAAGCCTTATGAAGTGGTTACATTTTTTTTTTCTGTAAAACTGCCTGATAAACTGGATGGTTGAGCACATTTTGAGTCACTGAATTTACAAAAAATGAGTGTCTAAACTGACTCATATTTATTGGCTTTTAAATTGAAGGCCACTTTGGTGTTCTTTTTTGGTTTTGGTTGCGTCTTTCTATTGTTGCCAAGGACAATCATCAAGCCAGGGCCGCTGGAAGTTCTTTTGGACAGGGGGTGCTGTGAACGTTTGCTTGTTTTATTTGGACAAAAGACCTATGAGCCTACAGGCCTATTTAAAATACAATAAAAAAAAAAATAAGTAAAAAGATTTTGATTTATTGTCATTGTACACTTCAGTGCAGGCAACCAGGGTCTGTAACACACAGACCTCATCAGTTCTCAGGTGAATATATACGCTATTAATTAAACTTCAAAATAACACTATAACAACAGATTTGGTCAGCTGACATGAAACTGAGTCCCTATGTTTATGTCACACGTGACTCTATTAGCTCCAAAAGGTGCAAACCACAAGGAAATAATTATATTATTGTACAAATTAAATGTTATTGAACAGTTCTCTACATCCATTACGCAAAGAACCCAAGATAAAATAACACAAAAATACTATGGGTACATTAAACTGAAAGAATAGATATAAAAGTGAGCGATGGCACCATGCTCTTACTTTGAACTACAGGCAGGGTGCCCTGCCTGATTACAGGTGTCCAAATGTTGAGGTGGGTTCTAAGTTTGTGGAGATAAAGTCTCTCATGGGCGGACGAATCCAAAATAAGTTCCATATTTCCTCCTCGTTTTAGTCATTAGAATGTGTACATTTACCAGTCAGCTGCAGCGAGCAGGATACCTCTTTACTCGTCGACCACTAGCTTGCTTGACGTTGCAGTGATAACGTAACTATCACGAACTTTTGCTGACTGTGCCTCAAAAATATCAAATAAAAATCCAAATACACATAATAGCAAAATAGTAAACTAGTAAAATAAAAGTCAAAATTTCCCAAAATATTCATAATATAATTGATAAATTGTGCAAAGTATTTTTAAAACTTGTTTTAAAAGCTCCCTCTCGCCACTAGGGAGTGCTGCAGCACCCCCAGCACCCCCACTTCCGGCAGCCATGTACCAAGCTCACTGCTTCAGTTACATAGTGGTCCATGGTGGTTTTTAATACTGGCAATAGGGACAGCCGCCAAAGGTAGCTTCATGTCTAGGACAGGATGAGATCCCCCTCTGGACTGACACGTTACTCTGTAACGGTCTGACAGACAGGTTGTAAAAGAAAGGGGGAGGCCTAGGACAGGTCCTACTCTGGTTCAGTGCAACTTGGACTTATTATTCTGGGCACACTCACACCTCTCTAAATTGACACCATTAATTTGTGTCAATTTAGAGACACCAATTAACGGCAAAGTGTTGGGCACAAGCCTTCTCTCAGGGGTGAGTAAACTGGAACAATCCACTACCAGTGACAGATTAGGGGCGGTGGCAACAGTTTCAGGAAGGCCTGTTGCCTGCTGCTTTGTTCCACCGACTTCAGCATGCTGTTGAGCTGCTTCAAGCAGATTAAGGTGGATTGTTTACTATTGAAGTCAAAATAAGTAAAACAGGTAATAAACAACAAAAAAAAAACTGACTATTTATAGCCAACATAGAGCGGTTTGATAGTGAGCTTAGACTTTTACAAGCAATCGATTAAGATGTTGTGTAGATGTAACGTAGTAAAATGAATTTTAATGGATGTTTTTCTCCTAGATGAACAGAAGGAAAAAAATCAAAGAAAGAATATGGAGAAAAAAAAATAAAAGTGACTGAGCCCAAGGAACCACAATAAGGATGAAGCAATTAGGAAGGAAGACAGATCAGCCTGACAACAAAAAATTAGGGAAAGAAGACCATTTGTTTAGTTAATTAGAAAGACACCCAAACAGAATAAGTTTAAGCTAAAGTTCTGTTGGTTAAGTAGCAGTTGCAGGAGGTTTTATGTTTCCTCGTGGAGACAAACTCATGTTCATTGTATAGTCTGCAGATCCATGTGAACAGTTGATGTAACTGTGCTGCTCTAAATGGAACATTTTCATCTGCAGTGCAAGAACACAAACCAGAACAACAATTAGCCTTTCTTTGTTTGGGCCTTTATTACAGGGCACTAAAAAGTTGAATGGCGTCTGCTTATATTTTTAAAAACAAAATATGTCTGTAGGTTTAATGCTTTAATTTGCATAAGATATATATATATGCTGTAATGCAGGTCTGAATATCTCATTAAGGCTTTGTAATAAAAAAAAAAAAAAATGTAATTTTTAAATATTGAATATAAGTAAGGCAGTGCATTTCATATTGTAGCTTTTATATATATATATATATATATATATATATATATATATATATATATATATATATATATCCGTTTTTCCATTTCGTATTCTTGATCTGAGCTTAGAATTGATATATGAAAAACAATCCGTGTATCATTCGTTCTTTCTATTTTCAATTGCCAATCAAAAAACAAAAAATAAAAAATTGACTGGTTATTTTGTTATTTGTTTTTTATGGTTAAACCAAAAACGAAAAAAGGATTTGTTTTTCATATATCAATTATAAGCTCAGATCAAGAATACGAAATGGAAAAACGGACAGCAACGCAGAATTTGTTTTTAATATTTAATCAGTACAGTTTACGTGACCCGGAAATAGCTCTTTGCGCAGCAGTTGGGGTAATGAAGTAGCTACCATGGCGACGCTAGAACCACACACTATGTTGATCGAGAAGCTGTTTGTTGTTGCTAGTTAAAAGTACAGTGCACAGAAAAGTTTCAAGAAAAAAGTTATACCTGGAAAATCCTGCAAATTTTCTCCGTTGTCATGTCCTCCTCAAGAGTCACACGCTTGGATCCTCGAAATAAAACGTAACTGTCCATGGCTGATAGGTCCGACTGCCTTATCTGGTGCAGTTTGATCGAACGTGGTGGGAGTAAGCCAATTGTTTTTTTAGCTAACGCTCCACCAAACTTCCGGGTCATGTAAACTGTACCGATTAAATATTAAAATCAAATTCTGCGTTGCTGTCCGTTTTTCCATTTCGTATTCTTGATCTGAGC